AAACAATGACGTAGTTTGTGTCGAGTCGACGTTAAACCCCATTTCTCTCTCTCTCTCTCCCTTTCGATATTTGCGCGTATCGGACTGTTACTTTCTGGATTATGGCCCATGATAGGGCGAAATATTAAGTTTTTAGCCTGTGGAACCTCTAGAAGTCATAATTGTTTTAAATCTTTTTTTCAAAAGCGTTCAAATATAACGCCGTAACACGATATTGTACGAAATGTCATGTTCTTAGCTTGTGGACTCTAGAGATCACAATTTTTACCTTATTTTCAAAATCGTTCAAAGATATCACCGTTACACCATAATTATGATTCAGCCCGAATTTCCTGAAAATCGGACCGAAACTTCCCGTCAAATTGCCGCTCCCCTTCACGTAAATAGTGTAAAAGCATGTAATACCCAGTTGTGGACCACCTAGAGGTCACAACTTTTATCCGATTTAGATGAAACTAAAACCGAGTATCACTAGCTCTAGGATGGGTTCAATTTACAATTTACAACCCATAATCTCAGTTCCTTTCGATATTGGCACACATCAGACCATCACTTCCTGGAATATGGTCCCTGATTGTACGAAAAATCACATTTTTAGCTTGGGGAACCCATAGAGGTCACAATTTTTATTTGATTGAAAAAACTTTCAGATATATCACCGTTACGGTTGAGTTGAAATTTCGTCAAACTTGGACCAAAACTGCCTAACAAAATGGCCGCTTTCCTTTGCGCAAATAGTGTAAAAGCATGTAATAACCAGGTTGTGGGCCATCTAGAGGTTCAAATTTTAATCCGATTTTGATGGAAATTATATCCCAAAGACCTAGGTTCTTTTCGATATTGGCCCGTATCGGACCGTAACTTTCTGGATTATGGCCCCTGATTGTACGAAATGTCATGTTCTTAACTTGTGGACCCATTAGAGATCACAATTTTTATCTTATTTTCAAAATCGTTCAAACATATCACCGTTACACTATAATTATGATTGAGTTCGAATTTCCTAAAAATCGGACCGAAATATTCCGCTAAATGTGGGTGTGTGTGGGTTTGACACTGGTTGAGCATTATGATTATAATGTTGAAAACCGCATGATTTTTTGCCATTTGAGAGGGGGCGCAAAACTCAAGGTTGTGGATCATCTAGAGGTCACAGCTTTTTTCGATTTAGATGAAACTTAAAACGAATAACTCTAGCCCTAGGGTGAGTTCAATTTTGGTGTTTATCGCCACACATTCAATCGTTTCTGTTTTTACGCGAAGAGTCTGAATTGAATGGCAGTCGTTGGTGTTTGGTTATTCCAGTCTACACCGATAGTATTCTTCGACATGGTATATGTTTAGCCTCGTTAACTGAGTCGCTTCATACAACTGGCGCTCGAAAGCATTCTGACACACGAATCAATTTTCATTTTGTCTTAAATATTGGCTATCAGAAGCCCAACTTTTCACGGTAAGATAACATCAATGTTGATTTAAATTGACCAATAAGTCAGGTTTGCAATGTGGAAGACGGTGGATGATATTGAGATAAAGACTTTTTGTTTCTTCTGAGAGTCTACGTTCTAGAAGTCTACATTCTATGTTGAAATCAGGCCTCTTCCAGTTACGACACAGTTAGTTAATTGCGTGCAATAACCTAGTGAAAGGAGTATTTGCGGCCAAATTATGAATGGGTGGGTGGGGGGGGGGGAGCGTACAGAAACAGGGATTTAGTTTATTTTAACATATTCATTAATTGGATCGTTATAATTTACCGGTACTTATATACCAATGGATAATACAGAACTCGGGCTCGTAGCTAGCCCAAAAATGTCAAGGGTCTAGGGTGCCCCCCCCCCCCCCAAGCAAATTTGTGAAAAATAGGGTTTGCACCTGAGGAGAGGAAAATTTCAATTTTGAGGCTGAATTTTCGATATTGGCATCAACATTATAAAAATTTGAAGGAATACGACTTTAGCGTATTTATAATAATTTTTGGGGCCTTACAGTCCAAGCAACAACAAAGGGTTTCCACATTTTTCAGGCCATTATATGGGCTTATTGAAACAGAAATTAGCAGCAATCCAAGGGTGAGACGGATAGCAGCACCCCAATGACAAATAGATGATTATTTGTACATAATTTGTCTTTTTTTTAAGCATCCAGAAATCAAACTGCTTGTCTGTACTTAATCTAAACTGAAAATGCATAGGATCGTACTTAGTTATGGTTCGGATGTAGTGAAGCTATAGACAAGTTTTAGCACTCTTCCACATCTTCTAAGCCATGTGTTCCACAGCATCAACCAATCACACTGTTTATGTTTGTTTAGCCTGAGCTGGGAATGATTATCATCAAATTCAGTCAAAATGTTCTCCTAATCAAACTGAAGTCTCTACTTAACCTAAGCAGAACTTAGTCAAGGTATTAAAGGAGCTAAATCGCTAATATTTTGGACCTAGAAATTGACACAAATGAGTCACAACGCATATAATAATGCAATATGAATGTATATAAACTGATTTACATTCAATCATTTCCATTTTTACTCTAATTTCAAATCAGTTAAAGGAGCTAAATCTCTAACATTTGGGACCTAGAAATTGACAAAAGTGGGTCGCAACGCATATAATACTGTAATATGAATGTATATAAACTGATTAACATTCAATGGTTTCCGTTTTTACTCCAATTTCAAATCAGTTATGTTCGGCGAAATAAGCCAGCAGTCTACATACGCCGCTTGATTTGGTGCAAGGTGTGTAGCCTCGTCCCTCGAGTCTCTGATACAACTGGGGCTGAAGCGCATTATGGTACACGATTCGTGTACCAATGGTAAAATGTTTATTTTGTCTTAAATATTGGATATCAAAAGCCCATCTTTTTCCGGTAAGATCACAACATGAATGTTGATTTAATTTGACAAATAAATCGTGTTTTCAATGTTGAAGATTTTGGATGATATTGAGTTAGAGACTTAGCTACTTTAAGTTCGGCGAAATACGCCAGAAGTCTCAATCGAATGCCAATCTCTAGCATCTGGTTATTCTGGAATATGTCTAGCCTCATTCTTCGAGTCCCTTGTTATAAATGGTTATGAAACGTATTCTGGTATACGATTCGTGTACCAACGGTAAAATATTTATTTTGTCTTAAATATTAGATATCCAAAGCCCATCTTTTCCCGGTAACATCACAACATCAATGTTGATTTCAATTGACAAATAATTTTAAGTTTTCAATGTCGAAGACTTTGAATGATATTGAGTTAGAGACTTGGCTACTTTAATTTAATGAAACTATACACCAAGTTTCACCAGTTACTCAATTGCAATCAAAGTTAGCATGCAACTAGGTACTCACCAATCAGATTGTTTATTACATAAGCACAAAATGTTCATTATCAAACTTTATGCAAGAGCCTAATCTGATTATTGCAAGTCTTTATTTAGGCTTCAGATGTCATAGAAATTATAAATTAGGTCTTTATTTACACAACAAGCACAAAATCAACTCTGTAGACCCACGGATGGCTTGGATTTAAACAAGATTTCATTGATTGATTAAATTTTTAAATGGCATGGTAAGCGGAGATTAACCGTTATATTGACATCATAACCCCGGAAATTTTAGATCAAGGCTAAATGATAGAGTGTACGAAGCGAGGCCGACGTTGAGCGCGGCCGCAGGTCAGTCAATTTGATTGAAAGTTCGATATATACGGCCTTGATATTATGTTTAGTTGTGGTATTTTTCGCTCTTTTGTCACTTGCGTTTACAGAAAATTTATGGAAATTGATAAACATCGCAGCTAACATCACCCAAGTTGAATTGCAGCCCCATTGGATCACTGTTTCCTATTTGTCTGCTTCGGGAGTTACGTAGCCGTAGGCCTACCAGTTAGTAGTACAAGAGTACACGCAGGCTAACAAGAAGTCGGCTATAATTATGCCTCATTGATTTGGTCCATTCCTTTCAAACTTTCGCTTCTTATCTATATATTAAACGTCTTATTTTTAATTTGTAGTAAAAATAAATGTGATACGATTGAATTGCAACCCCATCTCAAACCGAATAGGCTAACCGTACCACACCCATTGAAAACGTTACTTGATAATCGAGATTATATAGGTGGAGTTAATGCCTGTCAATCAAACGATCGGCCATTCTCGGAGACGGTGAAGAGAGAATTGACTCCTATTTCTTGTCAAAAATTACAATGGTGATAACTTTGTTCAGAATACAGTAATTTGACTGAAATTTTCAATATATTCTTCTTTTATCATCTTTTTTTGAACTGTTATAGCAAGAATTGCCAATTCTCTATTAAAATCTCTCATAATGTATCTTTAAGGTATTTATGCAATGACACTATACACCACCACTCTCATTCTCACTAATGCATATTTAATTTATTGTGGCCCAAAGCATTGAACAATCAAATTGGTTTTCACGCGGGGGGGGGGGGGATCACGTGGCCAAGTTGGTAGACGCTGGCTCGCTAGCCTGGAGGTCGGGTATTCGATCCCTGTATTGGCCGAGAAAGATCACCCAGATTTTCCGGCGTGGTTTCCCCTTGTCAGTGATGCAGGATGGAGGGCCTGACAAGGACAGCTGTCTAGTCGTTCAGATGGGACGAAAAACCGAGGTCCCGTGTACACATTGATGTGCACGTAAAAGATCCCCTGGCAGTTGGAATTCGATATAAGAGTAGGCCGTAGCGCTGCTGCCCGGGCAAAATTTCCCTCATTGCACACTGTATGGCGTATGCCCGTCTTCATTAGCCCAGGTTAGGAGCAGAACAGTAGGCCGTTAAACCCCATTTCATTTCATTTCATTTCGGTTTTCACGCCTTAGCCTAAGTCAAAGCAATCACCTAGATTGTAATGAACATCTACACCAAGTTTGAACATCTAACCTCAATTAGCAATGAGTTGTTGTGTCATAAATTGTGTGACAGACGGAGGCGGACTCATTTCAATAGTCCAAGCCGGAAGACAAAACCAAAAAGATAGAAGTCTGCTAAAAGTAAACCTGTTTATTTTAGAAGATTGAATCAATACTTTCTTCATTCTTTCTTCATGCCCAGAACATTGGGAATATAGAATGTGGCTGTAAATGTATATATACACAATGTATTTCAATGTTTTATGTACAATGACAACAAGTTTTAAAACCATCTTTCCATCAAATTAAAGGCTCAATGCATCATTTGCATTTATGCTATAACCTGAATTTTCCCATGGCTTAATCCAGGCTAAATATGTACCCAGATTGACTATTCAACATATAATTAAGAAAACAGAATCAGAATACAAACGCTAGATAATCTCCTGGCTTGGATTTAAACTAGGCCTTCAGGTTCTCCCGCTACCAATTAAAGATGGCAGCATAGATCAACGAAGTTTTAATTTATCATAACTTTGTAAATACTGATACTGAACAGAATTGAAGCACATTTGGACTGATATTCCTATTAGCCTATTACTCATATTAGACATTAAACTTTCACAATATTGTAGTTTGCACACGATTCTTATAGTGCTAATTATCACTACTCAATTATACATAACTTTTTATAGATTTATACAAGTATATCTTATATATATATACCACTGTAACTGTAGCCATTCTTATTTAAATATGTGGACAGTTAAAAATGCTTCAAAGACACAGTGATACAGGGTAATTTCTACTTCAAAAAACCATAGGTTAAACAGGCATTATGCAAGAGCTAATTCTGCCTATTGCAGGTCTTTATTTTGGCTCCAAATGTTATATAAACTATTATTTAAACATTTATTAACATGACAAGCCCACATTCAACTCTCTAGCACATCGGATGGCTGCGATTTTAAGTAGACTAGAATGCTTCAGCCATTTCATGATTGAATTTAAAAATGGAGAAACAGAGCTAAATCTCGAATAACAAGTACCGTTATTACGATAATAAACAATCAATGCAAGATCTTGTCAAAATTCCGAACAGTGATAACTTTGCTAAAAATAAATTAATTTGAATGAAAATTTCAATGTATCATTTTTCATTATCTATTTTGGAACTATTATCACAAGAATGGCCAGGCCTGTGTCTAAATCTTACATAATGCATCTTGAATAACCCAAGCCTTGTAAGGAGAGAGATATAAATCTCTGTCAGCAATGAAGCAAATAACATTCAGTTAAATTTTACTAAGATCAATACATGTAATAATGGATGCTATCATTTGTATATGTTCAGTTATTTGGTCAAATAGTAGTATCCCCCGGTAATCAAAATACATTTTTCTGTTCTGCATTTGACCAAAAATTAATGTCTTTTGTTACCCAGAAATGATTTAAAATCTAGGGATGTAATTTATTCAGTATCACTGTTAGGGTGGTGAAACTTCATAATGGTCCAAGTCTTCCGTTTGAAACAAGATTTGGTTGTCCTTAAATATAAATTAAATAATTAAAGGGCAGTAGTAATTTTTGAAAACACATTTATGCCAAAATCTTTCACACCGCACTTTAATTCATTTTAGTTCTATTTCTTTTTATTTGATGGTCTATCAAATACTTGTTTCATGCCACCACCTTTGCTCGAGTGGAATTTCATGTTTTGAACTGTGTCTGCCATCCACGGAGAATCAAACTGTGAAGTATCTTGATCCAGTAAATGGGTGTATTTCGTTCTTCCTGATCTGCCAAAGTTTTTCACCTGAAATTTTCAATAAATAGAAAACCTAAGTATCGGAAGTACATATACACTCAGAGCTAGGGTTCTGGCTTAGACAATACATGTACATTGAAGGGAGCCATTCAATATATATTTTGGTGCATAAAACTTAGAAACCTTTTATCAATGTTGTGTGTAATTATGAGAGGCGTTCTGCAATATGAATAGAATATTGTTTATAATAAAGACAAACAAGCCAACAGTGAGGCTGATGTCCCCCGCCAAAATCTCAAAATAAATAGATGACAAAATAATATTAATTAATTGCACATTTATCTTTTTCAGAAGTATCAAGCAATCAAACTGATTATCTAACTTAGTCTAAACAGAAAATGTTCATAATCAAAGTTATCTTATCCCAAATCATCGATAAATGAAATTGCTTAGCTTTAGCGGGAAATGTTAATCATTTGACACAAACTAGGTCATTTTGAGACTAACATATGATTCAATTTTATTTCATTAATTCGCTTGCGCATATGTGTTTTTAGCAGTGGGAGGAAACCAGAGAACCCTGAGAAAACCCCACAAGGTTGGACAGGCCGTACGACCAGGGAATCAAAACCTCTTCAGTTGACTCAATGACAGACCTTATGATGCAATGCGCACACTCTAACCATTCAGCCCCACCGCCCCCCTTTGACCTAATGAAAATCAAGTTTAAATATTCTACCTGAATTAAAAGCAGAGTTGTTATGTCCCAAAGTCTTGATCAATCAAAATGCTTATCACTACTTAGCCTAAGCAGAAAATTCTCATCATCGAACTTAGTCAAGGTATTGATATAATGAATCTATACTAAGAGTTTCATAGCTCTTACCCAATATGAACCAAAGTCTCAACCAATCAAATTGCTTATTTCTGCTTCATGGAAAATGCGCATGATTGAACTCTGTCAAGGCATTCACCTAATAGACACCTATACCAAGTTTGAACATTTTAGTTCAATTAGAAGGAGAGTTAGCCTAATTGTGTTCCAAAGTCTCGACCAATCAGATTGAAGGCCCAGTATTTCGACCAATTAAATTGCATATTACTCTGCTAACCAGAAAATGCTCATTATCGAACTTAGGCAAGGTATGGATGTGATGAAACTGTACACCAAGTTTCATCAGTCACCTACCCCAAGTTTGAACATTCTAGCTCAATTAGAAGGAGAGTTATTGTGTCCCAAAAAGTGTGATGGCCAGATAGACAAACTCATTTTAATAGTCCCCTGCTTTCTTCGAAAGGTGGGGGACAATAACTATATCAAGATACAGAGGTATGAGATTGTACCAATTAATCATACACTTGAATAATGGAAATCTGTGAAAGAGTTACATAAACCCCCAAGCAATCTTAAGAAAATTAATGGCCCAGCATTCGATTCCAAATCTTTGACCTTTTATTTGCATTCTTAAATACACTTTTATAAATGGACGTTGGACACCTTGTGAAATCCAGCTCATGTGTATATTTCTATAATATTTTAAAAGTTAAACCAGCGGCTGCCAGGCAAGATACGCCCACATTTTGAAAGAGATGGATAGAGAACAATCTAAAAACAATTAGGGGCCATAATCCAGAAAGTTATGGTCTGAAATTCACAAATATCAAAAGGGACTGAGATCTTTGGGATAAAAAGATATGTTTTCAGTTTCATCAAAATCGGAAAAAAATTGTGACCTCTAGAAGGTCCACAACCTTCGCATTACATACTTTTACACAATTTGCGTACAAAGAGCGGCCATTTTGTCGGGTAGTTTCATTTTTCGATTTTCCCGAAATTCGAATTCAACCTTTGTTATGGTGGAATGGTGCTATATTTAAACAGGTTTTTAAAATCAGAAATTTTTTTTTCAATCATAGAGAATCCACAAGCTAAAAAATCTGATTTTTCGAACAGTCAGGGGACATAATCCAGAAAGTTACATTTGGATATGCACGATTATCAAAAGGAACAAAGATCTTAGTGTGCAACGGTGATATATTTACATGTTTTTTTAAATCAGATAAAAATTGTGACCTCTACAGGGGCCACAAGCTAAAAACGCATTTTTTCGTACAATCAAGAGCCATAATTCAGGAAGTTACGATCCAATATGCGTGAATATCTAAAGTAACCAAGATCTTTGGGTTATAAACATGTATTTCAAGTTTAATCAAAGTCGGATCAAAATTGTGACCTCTAGGGGTCCACAACCTTGATATACCAGATGTTTCCACTACATGTATTTGCGTACGAGGGGCGACCATTCTGTCTGGCAGTTTCTGTCCGATTTTAATGAAATTTGAACTCAACCGTCATTAGGGTGTAACAGTGATACATTTAAACGCTTTTTAAAATCGGATAAAATTGTGACCTCTAGAGGGTCCACAAGCTAATAACGTGATTTTTCGTACAATCAGGGGCCATAATCCAGGAAGTTATGGTCTGATAATTGTAAATATTGAAAGGAACCACGACCTTTGGATTATAATCATACATTTCAAGTTTTATCAAAATCGGATAAAAATTGTGACTTCTAGAGTGTCCACAACGTTGGTATTACATACTTTTACACTATTTACATACAAGGAGCATACAAGGAGCTCGCCTTGACAATTTTCGAGTCGCATGTTCAACTGGCTTTTTTGCTTGATTTTAAGGTTCTTTTTCAACAATTTCCGAACGTTTACTTAGACAAAAATATCAGCCAAATAGCTCTTGGAATGGCTACAGATGCAAGGAAATGAAGGATAATTTTCTCCCCCCCCCAACCCTCTCAGCGGCTTGCCCCGTTTCTGCGGTCAGTGCCCTCATTTTGCAGCGCCCCCTCTTTTCAAAATTCCTAGATCCGCCCCTGACACTATTTGCGTACGAGTGACCACCATTTATGCCGGCGGTTTTGGTCCCATTCTCACGAAATTCAAACTCAACCTTCATCGGGGTTTAACAGTGATATATTCAAACAGTTTATTAAATCGGATAAGCTAAAAACGCGATTTTTAGTACAATCGAGTGCCAATTATTGAGGAAGTTACGATCCGATACGAGGGGCGGCCATTTGGTCTGGCAGTTTTGGTCTGATTTTTACGAAATTTTAACCCAACCATCATTAGGGTGTATCGGTCATATATTTAACCGCTTTTTAAAATCGGATAAAAATTGTTACCTCTAGAGGGACCACAAGCTAAAAACATGATTTTTCGTACAATCAAAGGCCATAATTCAGGAAGTTACTATCCGAATGCGAAAACATCGAAAGGAACAAAGATCTTTAGGTTATAAACATGCATTTCAAGTTTATCAAAATCAGATGAAAATTGTGAGCTCTAGAGTGTCCACAATATCGAAAGGAACCTAGATCTTTAGGAGATAAACCTATATTTCAAGTTTCGTCAACATCGGATAAGAATTGTGACCTGTAGAGTGTCCACAAACAAATTGTAGACAGACAGGGGCGACGACAATATACGTCCACATGAAAATGTGGGCGTATAAAAAACAACTATTTTTGAAATTTTCTCTGCAACATTTGTTATTACAGACAACTCAATATTTTATACTTGTTGGACATTCATAATAATTTTTTTTCTTTCTGTTTATGAAGAGCACCCTGTTTCAAATTTAAACTTTTAAAGTTGAGAATGTTTAGCTCGTCCTAAGACGGTAACAGACCCATATCGGATTTTCACTTTGAGTCGCTCAACAGCTAAACAGACCAACATAACATTAACTGTAGATTTATTCAAATATAAAAACAGACCAATTCAGATGATTACCCTTTAAGAGAATTAATTGGCTACTCAAAGTGAAAATCCTATCAAAAGTTCAGAGTCGTCAACCATTTTTATGCATAGTTATTGTCTTTAATAAAAAAGAGAAATTCTGAATATGGATATTATTTAATTGGATATGTAATTAATGGTGATCATATTTAATTAAAGATATTAAGAGTTTTAATTAAATTATCATCATCTGATCTTTTTTGTTCATCTGTCTGGGCACATAACTGAAACAATTAATCTAAGAGTCCTATATTTGTAACGACTGAAAATAATTATTAATTATTCTTAAATCTATTTCTGTCTATCCCCTTCCATACTACAAATACTTTCATATTTTAAAGACCAACATAATTAAGCTACTGGTAATTGGCTTCTGTCTCTCACAATATTTATTTTAGACGGTCTGTTTCATATTAAACCCTGAACTATTACTTAAAAACAGCTGAATTAAAAGTTTGCTAGACATGGCGGCGAACAGTTTTGATTTATTACTTAACAGTAAATACAAAAGAGTCATAGTACAAATAACAATCATTTAAACCCAGATGACACACCCTGAACAAGACACATTACATGGACATTGTCAGCAATAGATACATGTAATAATAGTATTATAAAATAGGCTTCTTCATCTCACTTATGTACACAATTCATATAAATTTCAAACTGATCAGATAATGAATATAGTCTGAGGACGACAGACGGACAGAGGTGGCGGTAATATTCGACCACATTTCAATGCGGGCGTATAAAAATCAAGTGAATAGTGAACAGGCTTCACTTAAAATAAAACAAACTCACAACAAAAGAGGCACTCCCCTCCACCCCCAAAACATTTGAGGATTTTGCAAACACTGTATTATTTTAGTGATATTATAATTATTATCACAAAACAATCAATTATATCGCTATGTCTTCTCCAAAGTTCTTTAATGCGCTTTACATATAAGTAAATGTTAACAAAACATCTGAACAAATAAATTATTTAAAATAAAATTTAACACAAAGGACATAGAACAATCTTCTATTAATGGGTTTTATTTAAAAGGAAATGGTCAAGTTTCTTAATCATGAAGAAAATCATTTCATAATTATTGTTATACATAAAATATAATATGGCTTGGAAAACACCTTTATCTCATTCAGTTGAGATATTATATCTATATTTAAAATACAGATGTGACGTCATCCTTTGATGTTGGAGTGCCATTATTTCAAATAATCGTACGGGCAATGTGCCAAGCGTAACTTGGTAAAATATTGAACTCGAGTGACGTATTTCATTGCAAAGCACGTGCAAGTGTCTGTATTTTAAGTTGTTTAATGGTCTCGAGCTTAAGACATTGCGTACAATATATTACTTAATGTCTCGCTCTCGACCATTAAACAATACATAAAAGACATTATAATCAATTCATTCAATAATCAACATAATCCAATCTGTGGGTATGTTTGATTGAAGCTAATTTGATCAAATAGCTTCTTCTACTTTTATTTCTAGAAATCTAGTTCCCAATTCTTCTCTATGCACAAAATCTTGAAAGTGAACAGAGGAATCCAGATTATTATACTAATCAAACAAATACACAGATATTGGGCAACACTATAAGCAAACTGGGGACCTTCTGGTTAGTGAGCCGGTGCCTTTATCACTGAGCCACAGATTTTCCACTTGGTAAAAGTACTTATTAAACAGAGGCAGTCAAAACAACTAGGGAATCTTGATCTGAACTGAAATTCAAATTACAGTAGAATCTGTATGAGCAGCCACTCCTATTCAGCGACATCTCCTTGTAAGCGGTCACGATAAATTCCCCCCGTAGAAATTCTGTTGTTTCATCTCTTTATTCAACGTTCACTCCTCTTTAATGCGGCCAGCGGTCACTATTTTACTAATAAATTCAACAAAACATCGCCCATTCAACGGCCATTGTTGAATGATACCATTTTGTCGTTCTTTGTAACACCCCCGCTAATCCCGTGAGTAGTAGTTAATTAACTGGACCCCCACTGATCAGGTAAAAAGAAATGTAAAAATAACAATCAACCCGGGATTATCTGTTAATTAATCTTTTGTTTTATTAAACGACTAACCTGATCATTGTTTTCACGCGTAACGACACATTATTTGATGCTGATTGAATAAAATAAAAGTACCGAGTTTTGTCACGATCATCTAGTATCTCTCTTAGCGCCTCCTATAATATTAGATACAGAGTTACACCCCCTGTAAATAGGTGATAAAATTAGCGATGTTTGTTTGTTCATGTGCTTTTTTGATAAAATAAAATGAATTCATCGATTTTCTTCACAAAAATGGATAATTATTATCGAATGCATCACAGTAGTATCGAAGGTTGGTACAAAATGACAAGTTTACAGAAGTTATGTCCGAGATTTGAGTAAAGAATTTTCGTTCGGCGCAAGATTCAGCGACGGTCAAATTTACCGCTTCCAATGCATTCAAGCGTAATATTTAATTTATGTCGGCACAAAAAGCACCAAGATTTTATTAAGAGGCCACTCCCGTTAAGTTATGTCCGAGATTTGAGTAAAGAATTTTCGTTCGGCGCAAGATTCAGCGACAGACAAATTTACCGCTTCCAATGCATCCAAGTGTAATATTTAATTTATGTCAGCACAAAAAGCAACGAGATTTTATTAAGAGGCCACTCCCGTTAAGCGGTCAGTTGTGAAAATTCCCATGGGTGGCTGCTTAATGCAGATTCTACTGTACTTGCATCCAGTTCCAACCATAATCTGATTATCACCCAGCCTACAAAAGACATCTGATTTTCAAGACATATGTCCTGGTGAACAAAGCTAAAAGGAGCTTGAGCACCAGGATTCTCTGCTCAACAACTACCTGTACATGAATGGGAATTAATTATATATTCAGAAGTAAAAATTAACCTTACCTGCATAACTTTGGGTAAAATAGTTTTATCAAAATGATCTTCTAAAGTTGGTGCTGAATAATCTCGTTTATGTACATCATTATCTTGATCCTAAAATAAGATCAAGGCAACAAATTCAAATATTATATGCTTTTAGTTATGTCACACCAGTAAATTAACAGATATAACATTATCTACAATATACATGTAGACCATTTAGGCCACTGTCTAGGATCCAACAGTCAGCAATGATAACAAAATCTAAGAGAGAGAGAGAGAGAGAGAGAGAGAGAGAGAGAGAGAGAGAGAGTTTAACCTCCACACAAACTAGGTCATTTTGGGACTAACACAAGGTTTTATTTTAATTTCATTTCAACAATTCGCTTGCGCTTAGGGGTCTTTAGCGTGGGAGGAAACTCGAGGACCCGGAGAAAACTCACGCGGTTGGACAGGCGACCCTACTCCTTGTCACGTACAACCAGGGAATTGAAACCATGCCAGTTGACTCAATGACAGACCTTATGATACAGTGCGCATGTGCTAACCATTCAGCCATCCATCCCCCGAATCTAAAAGGAGAGAGAGAGAGAGAAATGGGTTTAACGTCCACTCAACACAACTAGGTCATTTCGGGTCTAACATATGGTTTAATTTTATTTCAATAATTCGCTTGCGCATAGGGGTCTTTAGCAGTGGGAGGAAACCGGAGGACCCGGGGAAAACCCACGAGGTTGGACAGGCGAACCTACTCCTTGTCACGTACAACCGGGGATTCGAAACCACGCCAGTCGACTCAATGACAGACTTTATGATACAGCGCGCGCACGCTAACCATTCAGCCATTCAACCCCCCGCCCCCCCCCCCCCCCCCCCCCCCCGGATCTAAGAGGAACCTTAAAGGAACCTTAAATGTATTCTAATGGAAAGTTGCACAAGAGTCTGTACAGTTAAGTTCTGGTTAAAGCAGACGATTTTGTCTGGCAGTAAAATGATTCTGGTCCAACAGTGGACAAACAAATGAGTAAATATATGACACAAAAACCATGTTTTTAAGTTTGCTAGAAAAAACAACCTATTTAGTGAAATAATATAAAGAATTTTCATCAAACAAAACATACGCTTTTATTTAATTTAGATCATAAAAAGAATGAGATATAGGAAATATCTGGAAATATCATGAAAATCATTGAAAAAAAAGCAACAGAAATTCAACCGCATTTAACTTATTGAACAACATTCGTGTCACATTTCACATACTGAACAACTTTCGTGTCACATTTAACATACTGAACAACTTCTGTGTCACATTTAACACACTGAACAATTTTTGTGTTACATTTTGTTAGCAACTGGTTTATCGCCTTTTTCTGATCCTGCATCCTAGTTTATTACTGGATACAATGTGAAAATGATATTGTTTATTTATCTGAGGCCATTTATTTATGAAATTTAGCATTAAAACCTACAAGAGTACAAGTCATTATTCTAGAAATTAAATGGGAGTCCTTAAACAAGCTGTTTAAAATGACATTTCTAGTGTGAAAGAGTGGCACCTGAAAAGATTTACAAGAGCCATTGGCTCTACCCGATTTCATTAAGTGGAGCATTTGTAAAATAAGCATCATTTCCTGCTATTTAGTGCAGTGAATGGTTATTTACGATATTATGACATTGGGATTTTTCTATAGGGAGTGATGGTGGAGCTGACTACAGACTAGTCACCATGTACCCTTAGATCCACCACTGCCCTCCCCAGATAAAATCTAATTTAATTTTGATGGAAAAAATAAATACTTAAATTCAACAATAAAACTTTAAGTTTTCAGTTTAAACATTTTTCATTCATAGCAATATAATTTTAATTTTCTTCTTTCATAACAATAGAACTTCAATAATAAAATTCAATAAAACTGCTTTGTTACTGACTAGATCATCAAGCAAAGTCACACAAAATATTTACAACACTGACAATCACGAACGGCACTGGATAATCAATTGTTAATTTTATTATCCCATGTGATTATAATGACGATCTTTTGCCGTCATTCTGTCATTTTTTACTTTCAAAATGCCAAAATATCTTTCCCGAAAACTATAACTGATATCTGTGAGAGATATGACAGAAATTATTATCCGTGGGGAGATTGAGTGCGCAGACTTTGATTTAAATTGCCAGCAAAATCTATTTTGAGCCTTGTGATCCCAGTTTACCGGTTTACAAGGAGGTCGCCATTTTTGATCACGTATCGCGAGACAATGTGAGAATTTAAAACAACATAAGAGAGTGGTTTTGATTAGTCAAGAAATAATTAGGACACAATTTTCAACCAATACCATTAAACGACAGATTGATGGATAAAGAAAGGAAGTAGCTGATAATATGCCGTACTTGAACTTGAACCGAGTTTTCGATTATATTTGGAGACAAAATCATTTCTTTTTTTACAAAGTAATTTTATTTTTGGCCAGGTGTGCCATTGAGGCACTTCTTCCTGCAAAGAGTATGGGTGTCACAGTGATGGGATTTCAAATTTTTTTCTTGTCGGACATTTTTACCGAAAATAAAGGGACATAACTCTTATCGTTATTTAAGATGGCAGTGTTTAGAGCACACACAAAAATCACGTTTAAACAAAATATTCAAATTTGTCCGTAATATAAAAATAGGTGCACCTTGTTATTTTTCATATTTAATTCCCGTACGGTATTCAAATTTATGTCAGTAATATTCCAACAAAATTTGTAATACGATAGAATGAAAGCGTGCCGACTACTGCCCCGTGACGCTAGCACACCTCAAACAGCAAGGCCTGTAAAATGATGACTTTGATCTGGTTGCGTCATTAGTATAAGTCACATGTTCATAGGTGAATGCTAGCAAGCTTATACTGATATGACTGCAATCTCCATTCCAATTTTACTTTGATGAATTATGTAAAGCATTGAAAAGAACTCAACTTACCATGTAAAATGCACCTCTATGATAATATTTTTGTAAGAATTTATATTTTCCTTTAGCTGCTTTATTTACAATAACTTTGGGATTGGCTCTTCTTTCTGCTAATCTCTCTTCTTCTGTCATATTTCTAATTCTCTCCACTTCTAATTTCTCCTTTTCAAACCTATTTTCAAAATACAAAATATTCAATTGTAAAAATAATAACAGAACTCCACGGTTTGAATATTCCTAAGACAGTAACTAGCCATAACACATTTCAACCATTCCAGGAATCCCAGTGGCTGGGTGAGTTTGGCGCTGGCTCATCAACTAGGAGAACCCAGGTTTGATCCCGGTGGTGGCAGATAAAGTTTCACAGAATTTTTCAACCTAGCTTCCCCTTGTTAGTGGTGAAGAATGAAGTGCGGGAAAAGGAAAAACATCCATTGGCAGTACATTAGGCCAGGCCAAATTCCCACGTAGTACACAATTTTGATCCACTGAACAATCTTTTTTTTTCTAATAAATTAATTATATACTTTTATAATACTAAAGTTTCATCAAATGTCATCAATACATGGTAGACAACTCTATTTTTTCAAATCAAGCATTTTGAAGTAAATTAGACCACAATGTATTTTACTACAAATATCTGAATTACACAATTTTTCTATCTGAATTACACAATTTTTCTATCTGAATTACACAATTTTTCTATATGGTGTTTTTCTGTTTAGAAGTAAGATCCCAACCAAATGTACATGTATTCTATAGGGAAGAATATATACTCAGGAAAAAAAGATAGGCCAGAGGTTTTCTTCGTGAGCTTACCTTTCCCTCCTAACCATACATTATAAAGTTTAAAGTTCTCTCTTAACCATGTGTTCGGTATTACATAACTATAAATCATAAAGTTTAGAATTTTCTCCTAACAATGCATTATAAAGCCTACATTTCTTTCATAATAATAAATTATAAAGTTAAGAATATTTATCCAACCATGTAAAGTTAAAAATTCTGTCTTAACTATTTTGTAAAGTTTAGAATTTCCACGTAACCATTCAGTATAAATTTCAGAATACTCTCATAACCATGTATTATACAGTTAAGAATTATATCTATGCTTGATAAAGTAAGAATAACCTGTCAATCAGATGAGTGGTTTATTCAATATACCAAATTGACTCTCTGGGTAAATGGAAACTGCTGTAATAAAAGTGTTAATATTATTTGTTAAATTAAATACAATACATACGCTTCTCTTTCTTCTCTGTCTCTTTTAAGTCTTTTTAACTCTCGTACTTTCCATGCTTCATATTCTTCTTCATCATTTTCACCTTCAGAATTTACAGCATCACAAGCGTCTTCAACAGTTTTCATAGCTTCAAATTCTTTTCTCGCTTCAAATTCAACAAGCTGAAATGACAATAAAAAAAACCCCATAAACAATCACCAAAGATTGGTCTTTTCATGCCAGAAATGTATCCATATGAAGAAATATTTTAAACAGCAATGAAGCATGTTTATAGAAAATAGAGGTAGTAATGTAGGTCTATCTACTCCACATAGATCATCATCGGACTAAACCATCATCGTTCGGAAAGTTGAGACAAGGTCTTCGGAAATAGGAATGCGAACCTACACATATAAAGCTGGGATCCCAACCCATGATTGCATACACGACAGATCATACGATCTACAGTTCATGCGTAGGACCACTCGGCCATAACTCTCTCCACCATACCATATTGAAGCAATGAGATTTGTAATTTAAAGCATTTCATCTTATAGCATAATTATGTGAAGTTCAATGAATGGTGGCAGAACATACAATACCTTTAATGTCTGTCGCCTTCTTTCTTCTGCTAGACGTTTATTTTCTTGTTCCAATTCACGTTGTTTTATTTCTTCTCTTTCCTTTTCTTGAATGGTTATTCTATCTCGTCTAGATAAATATATATATATAGAAGAAATAATCATACTAGATAAAGGGTGACAGCAAATCAGCTAGAATAACAGATTCTACAAGACTGAAGCAGAATTTTTGAGAATGTTCACTGTTACATGTATGACACTCTGTCTTCTGAATAGAGAAGTACATAAGACATGTTGGCATTAAAGGTCACCGGAAAAGCATAAATTTTTTTTTAAAATAATGCAAGTAATTATGTCAACATATCCTTTCCATAAGTATAACCCGAGCCCAAACGTCAATAATACCTGCAACAGGTAAATTTCAACATTAGTAATTTCCGTCGTTCTCCGTCGGTAGTCGGAACTTTCCGTCAATAAGCAATCCGTGACGTCATTTTAGTCCTTCTGCACATAGAAATATAGACTAGAATATGAACAGAAGGACTAAAATGACGTCAAATTTACGGAAAGTTACGACTACCCACGGAGAATGGCGGAAATTGCTAACGTTGAAATTTACCTGTTGCAGGTAATATTGACATTCGGGTTCGTGTTATACTTATGGAAAGGATATGTTGACATAATTACTTGCATTATTTAAAAAATTTATGAACCTTTTCCGGTGACCTTTAAAGTTTCATACTTAAAGTCAATTTTATCAATGGATGCCCATCAAAATCTGGGACTGCTCCTTTAAGACTAATCACTATTTTACTTAAAGCAATAAAGAACAACATATTGCAATTCACAATAACTTATTAACTGTGAAAAACTTTACTTTCTAACAAATACTGGTTTTAATCTTGGACCAACTTCTTCTTCTGAATCCGTGTATTCTTCATATTCTGAGGATTCCTCTTCACTCTCACCATCAGATTTCTCTTCTTCAACATCCATAACTTCCTACAAACAATAAGTTTTTTTTAAATTTCATTTTGATGCAGACAAATCAAATGAAATGAAATGGGGTTTAACGTCCTACTTTTCTGCTCCGACTGGGGTAATGAAAACGGACATACGCCATACAGTGTGCTATGAGGGAAATTTTGCCAGGACAGCGGCGCTACGGCCTACTCTTATATCGAATTCCAACTACCACAGGGATCTTTTACGTACATGCCAATTTATACGCGGGACCTCGTTTTTTTGTCCCATCCAAATGATTAGAGAGGTGTCCTTGACAGGCCCTCCATCCTGCACCACTGACATGGGGAAACCATGTTGGCAAATCCCGATGAACTTTCTCAGCCAACACTTGATGCAGACAAGTGGTGGTGAAAGGAGTACGGGGAAATTGATCTAAGGTGTGTGCCCAAGATCCATCATTGATGCAACTTTGTTTTCGATCACCTGTCTAACCTCGTTTTTGTATTTTTTGTTCCTTCACCTAATATATATTATTCATAGTATTACGAAAAATGGGGTATAATTCTTTAAAAAAAATATCTGAGCAACTTACCTCATCTTCTTGTTTCTGCAAGGCTCTCTGTCTTAATAGATTCCTTCTCCTTTCAAATTCCTACAATAATTACAAAATATAGAAATTTATAAGCTTATTTCATTGTGAGAAGTAATTATTTGATTAAATGATTTTAAGATTGTCAAAGATGACTTATGAATTATGAATTTCAGAGTACAGTGAAGCAGTTGATTCTAAAAAGCAATCCATAGATTTTTAATTAAAGTCAAAGTAAATCGCTAACAAATATAAACCATTAAAACAAAATTTTATTTAGTAACATTAAGTGTCAGTTGGCTTATATCTAATGTACTAATTTTGGTTTTGTTTTGGGCTTAAAGTGGAACACAAACGAAAATCAACATATCAAACTTAAAGGGACAATAACACTCTTGCTGGCTTGACAGCTCCAGAAAAGGTTTACGTTAGGCTTTTCAAATCATTTAGTTGAATTTTTCCAATTTTTTAAATTAGGTGTGTTAAGATGAAATTTGTATCACCAATTAATTGGAATATTGTAAATAGTACAATTTGTTGACCAGAATAAAGATTGGGACATATTATTCAGTTACAACAAGAGTGGTATTGAGCCTTTAATTATACCAACGCTTTTATTGTTTACACAAATCACTCTAGTCATTTTAAGCACAAGTTATAAAACTACTGAAGTACATGACCCACATGCATATCTATATCAGTCAAATCAATGCAAGCATATTTTGTCTTCAGTTTAGTTTTTTTCTCATTATATTAAAACATGTCACAATGTTAATGTGGTACTGATATTTTGTTTATTTACCTCCTCATCAATTTCTTCTTCCTCTTCACTACTTTCTTCATCATCTTTAGGGTGTCTTGTCTCTTGTTCATCTTCTGACATTTCATTGATAACTTCAGGTTCAATAACTTCTCTTCTATGCCTTGCCACTCTACAGTTTGAAATTAACAATATTGATGTCTATCATTATATTATCAAGTATTAAAAGATTTCCAAAATACACACACAATGTAATATATACAAGTACCCAGGTGATGAATTATATCTCATCAAAACTTTACTTTTTATAGTATGTACAGATAAGACTGTGTTATTTATCATGAATCAGAGATTTCAGATGTATTTCACAAAAATAATTTTGTTACACTGAGTACCACAAAATTAATTAATTAAGACATAATGATTACAATTGAATACATTTGTAATTATATCCACTTTTATGATACAGGTACTTATTACTGTATTGTACAAGTTATGTCTAAGCAATACCTATCATCATCGTCGCTTTCATACTGTTCTCTTTCCTGTAACCGTCGTAAACGTCGGTCTGTAGTTTCCAAATCAGATGGTTCAACATCCTGTTTGGAAACTGCCTGCCGTTCAATACCGAAGTGCTCTTCATCTTCATCACTGCTGCTATCCGGTGCATATTCGGGACGCTTACCAGTCACATAACGGTTAACTTTTACCTTCTCTGTTGTAAGTTCACCTATAATCAAGATAAATAAATTAAGGCCAACAAGTTTAAGTATACTATGCAGATATTCACTTTTATTGATTTGGAAAAGAAATATTTATAATGATTGGTTTTCATTAAATAGACTAATCAAATAATTGAATAAACCATTGTCAGTTTCTTATATTATTGAATAAATTGTTATTAGAATGATAGCTGTTAATTAGCATAATTGTCATGTTCATACCTTTCTTATTCTTCAAAGTTATAGCACCTGCTGTTGACTGAATTGGTATTTTAGAAGTCATGATGATAAGATGACTTGTGTGTTTAATCACTGGAGAATTAAATTCAAGTCACAAGGAAACTGTTTGTCATACACACGAACAAATTAAAAAAAACAGGCTGCCAAAAAAATAAGAAGTATTACTATTATTACAACTCTTGTGAAATTCGGGGGGAAAAAAACTATATAGCAACTGTTCTTTCTTGTTCCTACATTTGATACATCTTTTTGGTCAGAACGCTAGAAAAAATAACTAAAATGCACAAATCATTGTCGCTGAATTAGAAACACGAAAAACAACGTAAAATTATTCTTTTCCGTTTTCGTGTGTTTTTCTGCCGAAACACCGAGAGTTATTTGCCCTTGGTTGAGGTAAATTTATTGAGATATTGGAAAACGTGAAACGAATATTTATGTTGCGTAAATTGAATGATAATGTGGGATTTAGGCATTCCTCAGCAATTTCGGCTGCTGTACTAAAAAAAACAATGAATGAACCACAGGGGTGGATACGGGAAGTTTGAAACGAGTTTTTGGACATTTTTCTAACGATTTATTCGAGAATAAACCCCAAACTCAAAGTTTCAAAAGCCTCAAAAGGTCAAAAATTTGAGTCTCTGAACCACTCTACCTAAATATTAAAATTTAACTCTTTTTCTTTCAATTAAAACCATCTGTCACATGGCCATGAACCTTATACTACATACTGATAGCGGGAGTGGGGCTGTCAAGCAATTTGCTAAAGTAGCTATTGTTTTGTGTTATTATTATCAATCAACCTATCTTACGGTTCACTGATCGTTATATAAACAAACCATTGACCAATCAGCATTACGATATCATCGTGAAAAGAGCGCGAAACGATTGACTGCCATATTTGTTTTGAAAATTGAGGGTGTGTGGTTTGTTGCGGAAACTGTTTATTCAGCAATTTCATGTATTTTAAAGTGGCAGTATAAATGATGTGTATGCAGTTTGTTAGAATATTATATGGAAACTTGAAAAATGAAGAAATTTAGAAATGACGAGTCCTTTGCCAGCCCCAGGCCGACACCCAATTTCTTCACTGAGCAACAAACATTTTCAACAAAAAAGGTAAATTTATATGGTTTAAGATTAGCCTGGGCCAAGTTTCTGCTCATGCCTCGCCCTGTAGTGTCTCCCCAAGCTAGTATAATCGAATGATTCTTAAGTACATGGGTTGAGAGACGCCAAATTGCTGAAATTGAGAAGGCAGTGAGTAGGCTGCCATTGTCATTGAATTTGATGGGTTTGCCTCAGTTCCGTGTGTGAAAGAACGTACAGGGACTGTAACGAGAACTAATCACGTTCAGAGCTGAACTAATCTGGAGGTAGATTCTAATCAACAAAAACCTGAAAAAACTAGAGGCTTGTATAGAAGACCTTCTGAATTGGATGAAATCTAAGGGTGCAGCCTGTTTCGTAACCTGGCTGTTTCGTACTTAGTTCATTCCACAGGCACTTGAAGGGATTAAAATAAAACTTCTTTTCTACTCTTTGACTATATAATACAGTAATAACAAGGTTTATCAGCTGACATTTTGTTTTGACTTTTTGACGACATTTCGTCTGCTATCATCTCACAATACTCACTAGTTCTAACACTTCCCGTCATTTTTATTGCCAACGAAACTTTTTTTGATCATTATACACCTTCCAATGTAATTAAATTGGTCATTTTACAGTGTTATTAATTACAAATCAAACTTGAAGCGTTATCACTTGGCTATTCGTATGTTAGACGGACCGGAAGTACGGCGAAAGGAGGTCAAAGGAATTCCCTTTTGCTGTTGTTTGTAGCAGTCTGTATCACCCAGTCCCTTTATAAACCTATCCATTACTCAAAATTTGCCTAGGAACTTGGTGATCCAGGCTGCACCAAAATACAAACACACGGCCTGCGGCCTCGCTTCGTAGACTCTATCATTTACCGTGCTTGTTGGGTGAAAAATGTCAGGCTTTTGAAGTTATAGAATGGCACTAGACGCCGTTTTTTTACACTGATTTTAGATATTTTAAATTTATTAGTCAATTTAAAAATATAACGGTTTCTGAAAAATTAATGAAACAAATAATTTTTTATAATGATCGATGCTTGAAAAATCTATTATTATAATTATAGCAGATATAGGCCGAGTTGGAAACATGATCGGAGATGTCCGGTTTATTTCTTTATTACAGGCACTTCATTTTTGCCGACTAAAAGGCAAAATATTTTTTCTCATAAAAATATTAATTTTTTTATCACTTTACCTGTCTACCCGAGAGATATGTGCGCCCCCCCCCCCCACCCACACAGTTTTACGCCTACGCAAGTTGCAGAATTAATAAAATTGTTTAATTATAGATATCACCTTTATAAAGTCATTTTACTTTTGATCCATTGAATTTTCCTAAGTATGTATTTTCCTAAGTATGTTACCTACCAATGAGAGTATTCAGCTGTCATTCTGAAATTCTTAATTCGCGATCAGCTGTAGCCTATATGAAGGTCAATTTTAGTTTTGGTAACACGCCTCGACCAATCAAAAATCAGGGCTTCCCCAACATGACGTTGTTGACCTCATTTCGTCTTACTTCCGGTCCGTCTAAGATACGAATAGCTAAGTCATCACGCTTCAAGTTTGATTTGTAATTAATAACGCTGTAAAATGACCAATTTAATTACATTGGGAGGTGTATAGCAATCAAATAAAGTCTCTTTGGCAATAAAAGCGACGGGAAGTGTTAGAACTAGTGAGTATTGTGAGATGATAGCAGACGAAATGTCGTCAACAAGTCAAAACAAAATGTCAGCTGATACACCTTGTTATTACTGTATTAGATAGTCAAAGAGTAGTAAGAAGTTTTATTTTTGTCCCCCGCCTTTCGAAGAAAGCAGGGGACTATTAAAATGGGTTCGTCCGTCTGTCTGTCCGTCTGTCTGTCCGTCACACTTTTTTAATCCCTTCAAGTGCCTGTGGTTCATTCGTACCTCACTTCGTACCTCAAATTGATTCTTACCTTTTCCTATGTTGTTGAAATCAGTTGAAAGAAATTGAATATGCCGAACCAGAATTAGAATATGCAAGAGATTTGTACCTCAAATTGATTAGTTCCTTCTCCTAAATCCAAAGGCTGCGCTAAATTTATAAAAATGGCTGCCGAACGAGAATTAGAATACACACATGATTTGTACCTCAAATTGATTTGTACCTTTTCCTATATGTTGTTGAAATGAATTGAAAGAAATTAAAATAAATCTATATGTTGTTGAAAGAAATTGAAATAATAAACGATTACCTGCCTTTCTTTAAATCTGATGTTGATTATCGAACCCATTCTGCTCAGTGAGTTGTGATTATTGACGACAGTTGATTGGTGATTGTTAAAGCAGTTTAAAAAATGCATGAAAAAGTATTTAATCCGGGGTTGATTATTGAACCCATTCTGTTATATCATGGACCGTATATACGGTCATATCACGGGGTAATTCTGTTATTGAAACCCAACTGCATGAAAATGGCTTTCGATCGTAACCGATGTAATTTTAGTGAAGTGCTGAAGCAATTTTAGTATAAATGTATCCTTTAATTGTGTGTGAATTACTACTATTGGGCAGGCTGTGTAATATAAATTTAGCATAGCCGTTGGATTTGATCAAATCGTTTCACCTTTATTTCAATTTCTTTTAACTGATTTCAAAAACATAGGAAAAGGTATGAATCAATTTGAGGTACGAAGTGAAGTACGAAACGGCTCATGTGAGGTACGAATGAACTAAGTACGAAACAGCCAGGTTACGAAACAGCTGACATCCAAATCTAACTTCCTAGCTCAAACTCTTTGATGAGGCTATCTTCCTTTCAAAAGGGGATCATGTGGCTAAGTGGGAAAGATGCTAGCTCGCTAGCCTGGAGGTCGGGTGTTCGATCCCTGCATTAGCCGAGAAAGTTCATCCAGATTTTCCGGCGTGGTTCTCCCTTGTCAGTGATGCAGGACAGAGGGGCTGACAAGGAAAGCTGTCTAGTCGTTCGGATGGGACGAAAAACCGAGGTCCCGTGTACACATTGGTGTGCACGTAAAAGATCCCTTGGCAGTTGGAATTCGATATAAGAGTAGGCCGTAGTGCCGCTGTCCGGGCAAAATTTCCCTCATAGCACACTCGTATGGCGTATGCCCGTCTTCATTAGCCCAGGTTAGGAGCAGAACAGTAGGACGTTAAACTCCCATTTCATCACTTCCTTTCAAAAACAAAACTGTCTTTACACAACTCTGCTGGTTGGTGATGTACATATCGAAACTACTGACTTTGTCAGTAATCATGGAGTGCTCTTGGATGAAGATTTGAAAATGAAACGACATGTTTCTACCATCTGCAAGAAAGCGAACTTATAACATCTGCACTAGACTATTCAAATTCACTTCTTTAGGGTTTACCCTCATACTCATATCTCATATCTTGTTTTTTGATATTTTGCAGCAAAGAGGCACACCACGAGATTCAGTTCCTCCAAGACCCCCCATTAAGAGTTGTCCTCCAATCAGTAGAATATTTCCTCACAGACCGGTACAGAGAGCACAAGTTGTCTCATTTAGAAGCACAGAAAATTGTATCCTTCAAAAATTATAATAAATCTGGCTAATAAAAGGAAAATTAAGCTTATGTGTTAAAAAAAAAATCCTCTCATTCCTATTACAGCAGTCTGCAATCATGGTGATAGATGATTAACATCCAGATAGATTGATAGAAAATTTAATAATTTATAGACCATTGCATGAATTTAAACACAACTTCATAAGGCACTGACTCACTAACCAGAAGGTCCTGATTACTGAGAAAGTTCCTTGTGATTTTACATCCAGTGATGGATATCTTAGCAAGAAAAAATGTCTAGTCATTTTGTTGATGCAACTTCCAGAAAAAGGTATTCTGATATGTTCTAGCTGGATCATTACCCCAAAGTTTTCCAAATAGTTATTCTAAGTAAACCATACATTGTGCTACAGCTATTACAACAGATAAATTGTAGCAAGAATTAACTGATCCTGCAAATAAATATTAACTTTAATTTGCCATCAATGATTTGTGGCAATACCTCACCTTACATTTCCTTAATTTTATTTAAAGCTTTTTTGAGTACAAGATACAATGAGAACAACAAAGATTTATATTTTGAACAATGTTTTATTATTTTGAGCAAACTTGGAGCAGGATCTTTTGGAGAGGTTAGTTTGATATTTCTTCATTGATGCAGCAATGTTTTGACCCTTTGAACCATAAGCTCCTGAACTGTAAATGTTGTTTTAAAATGTTCGTGGACCTGTACCGTGTAGAAGAGATAGCATTTACCA